TATTTCAAATTTCAGTGTTTTTGGTTTGATTATATTATTGAATTAAATTTATTATTATTATATTATTATTTTTATGATTATTTATTAAATTATAATTTATGATTTCGTGTTTCAAATTTTAACATACCCGGGATGTTTACTAGACTCTTGTTTGGACAGATTTCAGTGAGTTATTCCTAAAAATTACAGGCCTACAATAAAAACAATACATATTTCCATGCAAAAAAATGTACCGCTTTGAGCACAGAAATATGGACATAATCAGACCGCTAGGGAGGTTAAAGGCTACAAGACACAGGGATTACTGTTTAATTGGAAAATTTTATATACCTGGAAAGCCTTTCACTTTCTCCACCATTCTATGATTCATCGGTTTCTCAAGAACCCAAAGCCAAGCCCTTCTTTGAGACATCCCAGCCATGAGAAGCATCTGGCATTGGAAATACCTTACTTTAGTAATTACTGAGAAATCTATGAGGATTGTAGAACAGGCTGGTGATAGAGAGAGAGGAATGGTATTATTCGGATGACCTCTACTGGTCACAGGTCCCATTTCTACTTTTCCTTGATCGTACTCCTAGTACGTACAGTACACTATTTTACTATGGAGTAAGATTTTAAAGCCATATGCTATCATGATTTAAAGTTATACTCTGTACTCACGCCATCTTTTGACGTCATTATAACGTGTTGCAACAGGTTGTATGGTTGGAGTAGCTTTTAGCTTTAGCTTAAAATTGCATAAAATGAAGTAGATTTTGCTGGAGGGCTTGTATGTGTTACCCTAAGCCTCCTAGATATTGATCTTCCCTGTAACACTTCCAGTAAATTCAACACTAACATTAGCCCTTCCTGTAACCCCATAAGAGTATTATTAACCACATGCCGCCCAGCCACTGTAGAAATACGGCGGGCGGCACGGCTTGGCAAAACCACGTTTTAAAACGTGTGTTTTCAAAACAGGTATTGGGCGCGAGCGAGGCGCGCCGCCGTTCTACCTGTCCCGCCGATCACGGTCGCGGATGTCAGTCGCCGGGTCACAGCCGGTCGTTACCGGCTATGTCCCGGCGATTAGCGGCAATCAGTGACAGAGAGCACAGCTGCAGTAGCTGTGCTTTCTGTCAGTTCCCTGACAGCTCCTGACACGCTGATCGGGACAGAAGAGTTTATCTCTCCCGATCAGCGGTTTTCCCTGCAGTACACCCCCCCGCCCCCTAGTAAAACACTCCCCTCACACAGTTAACCCTTTCACTGAATAATAAAGTTAACCCCTTCCTCCCCAGTGCCATTAGTACAGTGTCAGTGTTTTTTTTTTTTGCACTGATCACTGTATTGGTGTCACTGGGGATGTCAGTGACCACAAGTCAGTTCCCCCCCAGTGTCAGAATGTCCGCCGCAGTCCCGCCATAAGTCGCTGATCACCGCCATAAGTCACTGATCGCCGCCATAAGCCATTAGTATACAAAAAAATTAAAAATCCCAGTATCTTTCCCGCCATTTGTAAACGCTAAAACTTTCACGTAAACCAATTAATTTACACGTATTGGGGGTTTTTTGTAGCAAAGACATGTCGCAGAATACATTTTGGCAGAAATTTATGACTAAATTTGATTTTTACATTTTTTTTACTGGACATGTTTTATAGCAAAAAGTCCAAAATATTGTTATTTTCCTCAAAATTGTCAGCCTTTTTTTTGTATAGCGCAAAAAATTAAAAACGCACAGGCGATCAAATACCACCGGAAGAAAGCTCAATTTGTGGGAAAAAAAAGGATGTAAATTTCATTAATGTACCGTATTGCATGACCGCGCAATTATCCATTAAACTAGCGCAGCGCTGTATAGCAAAAAAATGGCGTAAATTGCAGTATCTATACCATAGTTTATAGACGCTATAACTTTCACACAAAGCAATCAATATACACTTATTGGGATTTTTTTTTACTAAAAACATGGAGCAGAATACATTTTGGCCTAAATGTATAACTAACTTTGAGTTTACTATATATTTTTTATAGCTGAAAGTAAAAAATATCATTTTTCTTCAAAATTTTGGGTCTTTTTTTGTTTATAGCGTGAAAAATAAAAAGCGCACAGGTGATCAAATACCACTGAAAGAAAGCTCTATTTGTGTGAAAGAAAGGCCGTAAATTTCATTTGGTTGCAGCATTGCATGACCGCGCAATTATCAGTTGAATTAGTGCAGCGCCGAGTAGCAAAAAGAGGCCTGGTCATTAAGGGGAGTAAATCCTCCGTTGGGCAAGTGGTTAAATAGATAAAAGGACGTTGGCAGCTCGATCTTCCACAATAAATGAGTTTATTAATCCAGGTACAAAATAATACAGGGCTTACGCATTTTAGTGCATAGCCTTTATCATAGTCTAGGCCAGGGGTCTCCAAACTGTGGACCAAGGGCCAGATGCAGCCCTTTTTCAGGCCCTTGGGACACTATTCCTCCCAATTATTTGAGGCACTATTCTTCCACCTTACACCAACAATGGGGCACTATTTTTTCCACTGCTACCAGTGATGGGGCACTATTCTTCCTCCTCTTCCTGACCACAAACCCACCATGTTTATTCTAACCGATGCTGGTATCAGGACATTTTTTACCCTGGCCACAATCTGGCTCCCCTAAAGTCTGGAGAACAGTAAACTGGCCCTTTGTTTGAAAAGTTTGGAGACCCCAGCCTAGGCTATGACTAAGGCTATAAACTGAAATGCATAAGCCCTATATTATTTTGTATATGAAAAGACAAAAAGAGGGCACACAGGCCTAGTGCATTACCTTTACAAATTAGATTTATTGATAAAAAGAAAATACTCACAAGAGAAATAAAATCAAATGGAAAGCATGTCACAAGAGATGCAGTGTGGCCCAAGACCCCTGAAGGTAGCCTGGTGGGGGACTGTAGACCTCTGGATGGCTGACGCGTTTCGAGGTTGTACCTCTTCCTCACAGCCAGTCTCTTTTTTGTCTTTTCATATACAGTTCTCTTTGGATTTCCCTGGTCCATTGAGGGCAGCAAGGCTTGCATTCCTTTCATACACATGTGGGGATATTGACATTGGGGAGTCCATTGTCCAGCGCAGGAGCTCATGCGTCCGGTTGCTTTTTTCTTCCTACTATATTATTTTGTACTATACCTGGATTAATAAACTCATTTATTGCGGAAGATCGAGCTGCCAACTGCCTTTTATGTACATGTTTGCTCGGGTGCTAGGAGGACACCACTAGCCAGTGCACTGACCACTTACCACCTCGAGGAATTACAACAGGTGTTTTCTACTGTATTTAGGAGTAATACTAACCCTTTCTGTATCCCCAATACTAACCCTCACCGTACCCTAACATAAAACCTTCCTTTAACTCCCTAAGACTAATACTAACTTCTTCTGTGACCATAATATAAAACTGACCCCAGGGGCGGACTGACAACTCATGGGGCTCCCGGGCAATAGGGGATCATGGGGCCTCTGTGTCCTTGCCCAAACTCAAAAAAGCCTATGAAAAAGGTACCAGGGGCATCTTATTGGGCCCCCTACTGACCCCGGGCCCTCGGGCAGTGCCCGAGTTTCCAAATGGTCAGTCCGCCCCTGACTGACCCATAATGCTAACATAAACCCTTCCTGTAACTTTGAAACTAACCTTTCATGTAGCCCAAACACATAATTTGCTGTCCTACTAACAACTAGCCAACAGCTAGCTAACAAAACTGACAGAAGCAGCGTTGTGTTTCATTCCAAAACTGTATTTACTTCTGTGAATAGTCCTGTAAAACTGCAATACCGTCATGTAAACTAAAGTTACCATATGCTTGTAAACATGTCTCTCACAAATTCATATAATGAACACGTTTCTTACAAACAGTTACCTACAAATCACATTGAATACATTTAAATGCGATTTATCTATGTATGTGACTTTGATAAACAGAATTAAAGAACTTACAGGCATATGTGTATCAAAGGCAGGAAGGAGGAGACCTTCACTGGTGTTCTTCAGGAAGCTAAAAAAGGCTGCAGTGGTTTATGGAAAATCTTCATTCTTAAAAAACATGAGACACTTCCTGTTCTTTATGGATAAGGATGCAATTGCAGTGAATGACTAAAAGATGGTTCCCTACTCAACATAATGATGTGAATACAGAACATTCCTAGCCTGGTTTAAATATATACCACAACTGAATTACTGTAACATTTACCTTGGTAGCTCTTTATTCTGGAAAAGGACTACTAAATCTGAGACAAGTTGGAGTTATTCTTTAGCAATCCCCTGATTTAAGATTTTAAGATCTTCTTTGCAAACTTTACCATCACCACTAGGAATGGCTTTTATAATGAGACCCATTGGGCATACTTTGCACTTTGCTTGAGGGTCTTTCAACAAAACAAGATCTCCTATTTGAACATTTGGTTTCTCCTTTTCCACTTTCTTCTTGTTTGGAGGGATGACAAATATTCTTCTTCCAGCATTTCCAAAAGGTGTCAGCAAGGTTCTGAACCTGCTTCCACCGGCACTTGTAAAGATCTTTTAAGGTGAACTCAGCAGGTGATGATAATACTGCAGAAGCCTTCTGAGTCAAGAGCATTGCTGGTGTAAAAAATGTATATGGGAATGTTTGACCAGTCAAGTTCTTCCACCCTAAACTCGCTCATTCATGTCTTTATGGACCTTGCTTTGTGCACTGGTGCGCAGTCATGTTGGAACAGGAAGGGGCCATCACTAAATTGTTCCCACAAAGTTGGGAGCATGAAATTGTCCAAAAGTTCTTGGTATGCCGACACCTTAAGAGTTCCCATCACTGGAACTAGGGGGCCAAGCTCAACCCCTGAAAAACAACCCCACACTATAATCCCCCCTCCACCAAACTTTACACTTGGCACAATGCAGACAGGCAAGTACCGTTCTCCCGGCAACCGCCAAATCCAGACACATCCATTGGATTGCCAGACAGATAAGCGTGATTCGGCACAGCAGAGAACACGTCTTCACTGCTCTAGAGTCCAGTGGCAGCGTGCTTTACACCACTGGTCACGATGGTTTGTATTGTACTTGGTGATGCAAGACTTGGATGCAGCTGCTCGGCCATGGAAACCCATTCCATGAAGCTCTCTACACACTGTTGTGCTAATCTGAAGGCCACACAAATTTTGGAGGTCTTTAGCTATTGACTGCAGACAGTTGGTGACTTCTGCTTACTGTGTGCTTCAGCATGCGCTGACCCCCGCTCTGTCATTTTACGTGGCCTACCACTTGGTGGCTGAGTTGCTGTTGTTCCCAGTTGCTTCCACTTTGTTATACCACTAACAGTTGACCGTGGAATATTTAGTAGCCAGGAAATGTCACGGATGGACTTATTGCACAGGTGACAACCTATCACGGGACCACGCTTGGCGTCACTGAGCTCCTGAGAGTGACCCATTCTTTCACAAATGTTTGTAGAAGCAGTCTGCATGCCTAGGTGCTTGATTTTATACACCTGTGGCCATAGAGGTGATTGGAACACCTGAATCCAATGATTTGGAGGTGTGTCCCAATACTTTTGGCAATAAAGTGTACCTCCGTACATATGGATGCAACAGTTGATGGGGTAGGTTCATTCTCCTCCCCGCCTTGCTCTTTGTTGGTTATCAGCGTCTCTGTTACCCAAGGGGCTGGACCTGAATGCAGTGCTGAAGTATGCTGGTCACTACTGCACTCTCTGCATCTTATATTGACCTTACAGTCTTAGCAGTGTATTTTATGGATGCACAACATCTGAAGCAGATAGCATTTTCCTTCAGGTAAGCTTTACATTTATCAATGTGCTTGCTTCTGAACCCACTATGCTTTGACAGTGGGTGTGTTTTTTTATGGATTGGGCATGAACTGTCTGGGTCCATGGACTTCTTTTCAGAGTTGTTAAGACTTAAAGCTGTGCCAGTGGCTGACACCTCTGTCTTTCTGACTGACAATGAAGGTCTGTTGCCGTCTACCTACAGAGTGCAGGGGTTAGATGTATGTAATGTACAGAGTTCAGTTGTCAAAAGTATGCTATATACAGTGTGCAGGGGTTAGAAGTATGTGATATACAGAGTGCAGGAGCAGGAGGTACATAGTTACATATAGTTAGTCTGGCTGAAAAAAGACAAAAGTCCATCCAGTTCAACCATAAAAAAAAAAAAAATAATTATAATCCTATACCCACAGTTGATCCAAAGGAAGGCAAAAAAACCCAGCAAAGCATGATCCAATTTGCTCCTGCAGGGAAAATATTTCCTTCCTGATCCCCCGAGAGGCAATCGGATATTCCCTGGATCAACTTTACCTATAAATGTTATATCCAGTTATATTCTGTGTATCCAAGAAAGAATCCAGGACTTTTCCGTGTTTGAAGATTACATTTATTTTCCTCCAAATGTAAAGAGTGCCCCCTTGTCCTCTGTGATGACCTCAGGGGGAATAACTCTACACCGAGTTCACTATATAAACCACTGATGTATTTATACATGGAGATCATATCCCCCCTTATGTATTATACATGGAGATCATATCCCCCCTTGTGTATTATACATGGAGATCATATCCCCCCTTGTGTATTATACATGAAGATCATATCCCCCCTTATGTATTATACATTGAGATCATATCCCCCCTTATGTATTATACATGGTGATCATATCCCCCCTTGTGTATTATACATGGGTATCATATCCCCCCTTATGTATTATACATGGAGATCATATCCCCCCTTATGTATTATACATGGAGATCATATCCCCCCTTATGTATTATACATGGAGATCATATCCCCTTATGTATTATACATGGAGATCATACCCCCCCTTATGTATTATACATGGAGATCATACCCCCCCTTATGTATTATACATGGTGATCATATCCCCCCTTATGTATTATACATGGAGATCATACCCCCCCTTATGTATTATACATGGAGATCATACCCCCCCTTATGTATTATACATGGTGATCATACCCCCCTTATGTATTATACATGGAGATCATACCCCCCCTTATGTATTATACATGGAGATCATATCCCCCCTTATGTATTATACATGGAGATCATACCCCCCCTTATGTATTATACATGGAGATCATATCCCCCCTTATGTATTATACATGGAGATCATATCCCCCTTATGTATTATACATGGAGATCATACCCCCCTTATGTATTATACATGGAGATCATATCCCCCCTTATGTATTATACATGGAGATCATCATACCCCCCCCCTTATGTATTATACATGGAGATCATATCCCCCTTATGTATTATACATGGAGATCATACCCCCCTTATGTATTATACATGGTGATCATATCCCCCCTTATGTATTATACATGGAGATCATATCCCCCCCTTATGTATTATACATGGAGATCATATCCCCCCTTATGTATTATACATGGTGATCATATTCCCCCTTATGTATTATACATGGAGATCATATCCCCCTTATGTATTATACATGGAGATCATATCCCCCCTTATGTATTATACATGGAGATCATATCCCCCTTATGTATTATACATGGAGATCATATCCCCCCTTATGTATTATACATGGTGATCATACCCCCCCTTATGTATTATACATGGAGATCATATCCCCCCTTATGTATTATACATGGAGATCATATCCCCCCTTATGTATTATACATGGAGATTATATCCCCCCTTATGTATTATACATGGAGATCATATCCCCCCTTATGTATTATACATGGAGATCATATCCCCCCTTATGTATTATACATGGAGATCATATCCCCCCTTATGTATTATACATGGAGATCATATCCCCCCTTATGTATTATACATGGAGATCATATCCCCCCTTATGTAATATACATGGAGATCATATCCCCCCTTATGTATTATACATGGAGATCATATCCCCCCTTATGTATTATACATGGTGATCATATCCCCCCTTATGTATTATACATGGAGATCATATCCCCCCTTATGTATTATACATGGAGATCATATCCCCCCTTATGTATTATACATGGAGATTATATCCCCCCTTATGTATTATACATGGAGATCATATCCCCCCTTATGTATTATACATGGAGATCATATCCCCCCTTACGTATTATACATGGAGATCATATCCCCCCTTATGTATTATACATGGAGATCATATCCCCCCTTATGTAATATACATGGAGATCATATCCCCCCTTATGTATTATACATGGAGATCATATCCCCCCTTATGTATTATACATGGTGATCATATCCCCCCTTATGTATTATACATGGAGATCATATCCCCCCTTATGTATTATACATGGAGATCATATCCCCCCTTATGTATTATACATGGAGATCATATCCCCCCTTATGTATTATACATGGAGATCATATCCCCCCTTATGTAATATACATGGAGATCATATCCCCCCTTATGTATTATACATGGAGATCATATCCCCCCTTAATCTCCTCTTCTTATGTTTTGATAACGATTATACATTTTCATTCTATTGGATGTACTGATGCAAATCTTTGATATTTTATGTTGCCTTTTCTTCGTTGCTGAATTCCGTGTCCCCCTCTTCCTATTGGAGCTGCATCTTCTCTGTTGAATTGTCTGCAGGAAGTCCGCCAAGTGGCGATATGACACCGAGCTCAACGAGGATCCCTGTCGTTGCTGCAATTGTGGACTGTTCTACACTTCGTCCAGCAGATGGTGATATAGCACCGCACCTTCCCAGATTCCAGGAGGGATGAGTGTCCAGCCATTGCCGGAAGTATTGCTGTAGCTATGGTGACAGCGAGTGTTGTGTGTGGGACTCAAGCTGCAGGAAACTGGGCAGGTTGTCATCTGCTGGGTACATGTGAGTATAGAGATCAGGGGGACACATACACCACATGTGGGGGTCGTCATCTACTCAGCCTCTTCTATAAACCCAACTCACCCTAACCTGCTACATACTTCACATCTTATATATCTCTGAACTGTATAGGGGGCCGTGTCTGAGCTGCATAGGGGGCCGTGTCTGAACTGTATAGGGGGCCATGTCTGAGCTGCATAGGGGGCCGTGTCTGAGCTGCATAGGGGGCCGTGTCTGAACTGTATAGGGGGCCGTGTCTGAGCTGCATAGGGGGCCGTGTCTGAACTGCATAGGGGGGCCGTGTCTGAACTGTATAGGGGTCCATGTCTGAACTGTATAGGGGGCCATGTCTGAACTGCATAGGGGTCCGTGTCTGAACTGCATAGGGGTCCATGTCTGAACTGCATAGGGGTCCATGTCTGAACTGCATAGGGGTCCATGTCTGAACTGCATAGGGGTCCGTGTCTGAACTGCATAGGGGGCCGTGTCTGAACTGTATAGGGGGCCGTGTCTGAACTGCATAGGGGGCCATGTCTGAACTGTATAGGGGGCCATGTCTGAACTGCATAGGGGTCCATGTCTGAACTGCATAGGGGTCTAGTTCTGGACTGTGTAGGGGGCCATGTCTGAACTGTATAGGGGTCTAGTTCTGGATTGTATAGGGGTCCATGTCTGGACTGTACAGGAGTCTCTTTCTGAACCGTATAAGGGTTCATCTCTGGACTATATAGGGCTCCATCCCTGGCCTACATAAAGTTCTGTCTCTGGATTGTAGTATAGGTTTATCTCTGGACTGTATAGGGGTCCATCTCTGCTCTATATGGGGTTCTATCTATCCATTGGACTGTATAGGGGTCCATCTCTGCTCTATATGGGGTTCTATCTCTGGACTGTATAGGGGTCCATCTCTGCTCTATATGGGGTTCTATCTCTGGACTGTATAGGGGTCCATCTCTGCTCTATATGGGGTTCTATCTCTGGACTGTATAGGGATCCAACTCTGCTCTATATGGGGTTCTATCTCTTGGACTGTATAGGGGTCCATCTCTGCTCTATATGGGGGGTTCTAACTCTGGACTGTATAGGTGTCCAACTCTGCTCTATATGGGGTTTATCTCTGGACTGTATAGGGGTCCATTTCTGCTCTATATGAGGGTTCTATCTCTGGACTGTGTAGGGGTCCAACTCTGCTCTATATGGGGTTCTATCGCTGGACTGTATAGGGGTCCATCTCTGCTCTATATGGGGTTCTATCTATGGACTGTATAGGGATCCAACTCTGCTCTATATGGGGTTCTATCTTTGGACTGTATAGGGGTCCATTTCTGCTCTATATGGGGTTCTATCTCTGGACTGTAGGGGTCCAACTCTGCACTTTATGGGGTTCTATCTCTGGACTGTGTAGGGGTCCAACTCTGCTCTATATGGGGTTCTATCTCTGGACTGTAAGGGGTCCATCTCTGGTATAGGGGTCCATCCATCTGCTCTATATGGGGTTCTATCTCTGGACTGTATAGGGGTCCAACTCTGCTCTATATGGGGTTCTATCTCTGGACTGTATAGGGGTCCATTCTGCTCTATATGGGGGGACTGTATAGG